CCCGGGGCTCAGGTAATCCTCTCATCTGGGCCTCCTCCCAGAGTGCTGAGATTATAGGTGTGAGCCACCACGTCCAGCCCAAATGTATTTTAAAAACTCCAGCCGGGCATGGTGGCTCACACATTCCAAGGCAATGTCAACGGATGAGAGCTGAGAATACAGGAAGCCTTTCTTTTGCCAATTTGGCCCATTTGGGGACCCAACGGAATAGCTGGTAATTTGGGGCCACCACCAGGCTGCTGCAGAGGCAGACCCCTCCCCACAAATATGTTTTGGATCAACCTGTCCTTGCAGAGGGTGGCAGGAACCCAGGGGGTGTCAGGAAATGTGTGGAGGGATTCTTTTGGTTTTCGCAACATGGGGGCGGGGTGAGGGATTCGTGCACATTAAATGCCTGAGAACCTCCAGCAAAAACGGGACTTCCCACTTGCCAAAAAATGCCAATGACGCCCTGGTGAGGAATACCAGAAAACAGGGCGGAGAAAAGACAAGGACAGGAAAGTGGCCCTAGGATGCTCTGAAGTCCGAATTAATTACCTCTTCTCTTCCCCCCTCCCCGTAAACCCCACTGTTTTTCTCTCCTGGTGACCTATAACTGCAGATGAACATGCTTCCTGCTTTCTCCCAGGTACTAGCCTGCCTGTTGGGGCACCCATCATGATCCTCACCAGTGTCCCCTCTAAGGGTGCCACGGTGACAGCTCTGTCACTTCCAGTCACCAAATTCCAGCCCCAGGTGTGCCCAGGCGCCAGGCAGTTATTTATGTGGGGATTTAAGTTCACACACAAAAGGGCAGAAGTGACTGGCAATGCCTGGTGGATAACCCCTCCTTTCTGCTAATCCGGAAGCTTAAGCCGAAGGGTTCTTCGAGGGACAAGGAAAAAAAAAAAAAAAAAAAAACGCGAGGGTCTCCTTGACCACAGAGTCCAGAAGACCCTGAAGGCAATGGGAGCCATGGGCCTCCCCACGGGAAGGTGTGTGCTATAAAGAAGGGTGCTCAGCTTGGGGATAGTGGCGTCTGTGGAAAGGACATGCCAAGTAAGGAATCTGCTCTGGGCTCACGGAAAGGACACGAACGGCCTGGTGGGAATCTCAGCTCTGCACTGCTTAGCACACTGCTAACCTCTCTGAGTCTGGAATTTCTGCAGGGACATTCCCCTCTGTCAACCTCAGGGGTGTTGTCAAATGTCAATGCCTGCCACGCACGCTGGGGATGCCACAGTGACTGTCAGTGCAAATGATTCTCTGGGCGCTCTGCCACAGTAGCCCTGGCTGCACCCTCACCTCTGCTCCAGGGGACTCCGAGGGAGCCCACAGAGAACAGCAAACACTCGGCGCTTACTGTGTGCAGGCACTGTGCTAGGAAGTCATCTCCATCGACCCATCCAATCCTCTTCACCTTCCTGGGGGTAGCACCAGACTTTGCCTGCCTGACAAACGGGGACAGTGAGGCACGGAGCTGTGGAACAGCTGGCTGGTTCACCCAGCCAAAACATGGGGTTGGATCCCAGGCTGTCTGACTCTCCCATCAGTCTGTCCTCGAAGCCAAGGTGAGAGGGAACGTTTCACTGAATCCTTGGGTGTTAAGGGGGATGGGTCCTTTCATCAGGGCATTAAACTGATTATTCTTTGCCTTGACTCCACCTTTAGAGAAAAGCCACAGAATAATGGTAGTATACTAAACATTCTAATATCCCCCCTTCCAGCCTCCTAGACTGTAATCCCAGTACTTTGGAAGGCCAAGGCGAGAGGATTGCCTGAGCCCAGGAGTTCGAGAACAGCCTGGGCAACTTGGAGGGACCTTGTCTCTACAATAAATCACAAAAACTAGCCATGCGTGGTGGCATGCGTCTGTAGTTCCAGCTGTGTGGAAGGCTCAGACGGAAGGATCGCCTGAATCCAGCAGGTCGAGCCTGCAGTGGCCGTGAGCATGCCACTGCACTCCAGCCTGGGTGACAGAGTGAGACTCCAACTCAAAAAAAAAAAAAAAAAAAAAAAAATCTAGGCACCCAAAACAAAAAGGCGAGTGGATGGAAGAAAATAAAGACAATCCCAAACCCAACAGAGCAAGAGGCCACCCACACAAAATTCAAAAAGGGACACGGAGTAAGCACTGCCGCTTCCTTTGTATTTCTATATCTAGCTAGGATGGTGATCAGAGCAGACTGCAGAAATAAGTGGAAACAGAGAAAGACCCCACCAATCCAACCAACCCCAGCTAATGGGTCCCTGCTCCCTCCGGAGTCCTTTTCCTGAGCATTTCTTCATTGTTTTCAGACTTCTCGTGGTAATGCACATCTCAGCTTGCATGTATCCCAGCAATCTACTTTTAAATAAAAGAAAGGACCATTTGGGGACGGAGGGGAACAAAACACAGCACAGCCCCACAAAACCGCTTGTCCCTGTGCCAGAGGAAGGTTGTCTCCTGAGTGACCCTCTGCAGGCCACGATGTTGCTACTGAGCTTTTCCTTCAAGATAAGCTGACGGCAGGTCCCCCTGCTCTGTAGTGGTAAACAGCACTCCAAGCCAAGAAAGAATGCGGCCTCCGAATTTTCCAGAGGGTTCCAGGGGTGGCAGTGCTGACACTGTCAGCTGAGTGAGGGCTGCAGACATCTGGGGGCATAGCATGGGTGCTCACGACGTGAGCCAGGCACAGGCACTGCAGATGGCTTTGCAGCCTTTCTGGTGAGGAATGCCGGAAACCTGCGATCACCTGACCAAGTAGAGGCACATACCTGGCAAGGGTGTCAGGCCTGTTAAAGAAGCCTTTGCCAGTTCTTAACAAAGTGTTTCTTTCCACCAGCGGATGGTGGTAGAGAGCTAATAATCAGCAGGAAGAAAATGTGTGCTCAGAGAGCCTGCGCAGAGACCAGACCTACTTGTCTTTTCACAATTGATGGGTGCTACACGGGTAATCAATTTACACCAGCCCTTTATCTGACACTTGTCTGCACACGCAAGAATCTACTCTCAATCTGGGGCTCCCTGCTGTGCAATCTAGCCAGAGCCAGAGATTCAAACTGGAAGCCTGGGTTGTGTTCTGTTTGCCCGGTCCTCTGCTTCCAATAAAGCGAATTCTAAAGTTAGGAAATGTTATGTCACAGTTCGCCATCGACGGCTACCCACGACTCTCAGGCTCTCCCCTGCTCTTGCCTTGTTCTGCCTGTGAACTGGAAAGTTTCCCTAGTTTTTTCAGTGCTAATTCTCACTCATAATGAGACAGCCCTCAGCAGGACAGAGTGGGAAATCACTAAGCCGGGAATTAATTTACGTATTTCCTCTGTGAACAGGTGAGTAAGGATAGAATATTTTTCCAGACTTATTTCTCCCTGGACTTTTAGGGATAGTTGGGAGACTGAATCCCTGTAGTGGCCTGGGAGATCCCTGCTTTCACCCAGCACTTCTGAGGCCATTTTTCAGAATCCAAAGCTTAAGGATGTGAAACTGAATCACCATGACATTACCCCATCAGGTCAGCTTCGTGGGGCTTCAAATATGCAAACGCACTTCAATCACTTGGCTGTCTCCACGTCTATGTTCTGTATAAGGAAAGACATTATCCCAATCTATGGCTTCTCTGCCCCTGGCAAGACCAGAGGACAACTCAAATTTCTAGTGGCCTGAAGGTTATGAAGTCACCATCTCTCCCCAGACAGGTTTCTGTTTATATGGCCTTTGTGGGAAGTCAGGGCATATTTTAGATGCCTCAGCCCCCCAAGTAGCTGCAATTTACGGGTGCGTGCCACCATGCCTGGCTAATGTTTGGATTTACTGTAGCAATGAGGTCTCACCAAGTGGCCCAAGCTGATCTCGAACCCCTGGGCTCAGGCAATCCTCTCACCTCAACCTCCCAAAGTGCTGGGATTATAGGCGTGAGCTTCCGTGCCCGGCCAGACACTACCTTACAAACAAGCACTTAAACCGATTGAATAATCTTTTTATGTCTTGTTTTTTGAAAATTAGGACATTACTGTAAGAAATCTGAAAATAGACAGTAATGTTTAAAGAAGACAACGTTAATCATAATAGCAAAATCGGAACATACCCCTGCTGTCATGTTCTCTGCATCTTTAACATTGTAGAGATTATTACGTATACCCATTTTGTCTCTTGCTTTGAAGTCCAGGGACATTCTAAGCCCTAAATTCCTGTTACTAAAACTTCTTCAAAATATTTTAAAAGCCCCAAACCATTCAATTCTATAGATGCTTGCCACTTTGATTAATCTATTATAAATAACTCTGTGATGAACATCTTTGTACATCAAACATAGAGTTTCTAGATTCAAGGGAATAACTACCATGAAGCCTCTTGATCCACACTGATACACTGTGGGCTAGAAAGGGTACGTCCACGTTTACTTTTTCTGTTTTCACTTTTTTTTGAAACCGCAGAGCAACGATGTTTGATGAACAGGAGCTTAAGTGATACCTTGGGGCTCAAAGCATAAGGAGGAGTCAGCCTTCCCGATTCCCCCCTACTTTATGGGAGTGGTTATTCCAGAGAGGTGGGAGGAAAGAAACCAGGCACAGCAGATGCAAAAAGGTCAATAATTTCCAAGTCCAAACAGCAAAGAAGAAATCCAGTAGGGAGTTTATGCCTTTATGTCATGCGATATGGAAAACACAGGACAGGGACAGATGCCCCTTGGTAAAACCTGGGTGTCCAAAGGTCCGTTTTCTTCATTCTCATAAGTCAAAGTCTCACACTGAGGCTCAGGCAGTCCTTCCACTCAGTCTTCTGAGTAGATGGAACTACAAGCATGCACCACCACACCCAGCTAATTTTTTGATTTATTGGAGAGATGAGGTCTCGCCAAGTTGCCCAGCCTGGTCTCGAACCCACGAGCTCTGGCAATCCTCTCACCCCTGCCTCCCAAAGTGCTGGGATTACAGGTGAGCCACCTGCCCATGCTCATAGTTTACAAGGGAAAAGACTTGCGCATTTTTTCACATAAACACAGGTGAGGCATTTCAGATCCACAAACAGAATTTCTCACCTTTCGAAGTCTAGCAAGGAGACCTGCTACGTGCTCGTGCTGTTCCGCTTTGGCGAGATCTTCTGCCGTCTTTCCATCCTGTTAGAGAAAAAACATTAGTTCCTTTTCTCCGAAAAAGAGAGCTCTGTGTGTTCCAAACACAAATTCTGTCAGTCTGAGGCAGACACAAGCATGACAGATGCCAGAAACAAGTGAGATAGACCAAGAGCACGTCCTGGCGTATTTCTCTATCTGTGGAATCCTTATTTCACCTGGTTGCCCAGGAAAGGAAGATCAGATGTAAGAAAAAGGCACGCACTGGCATACTGTGGTCCAACCCAAGACACGGTCACAGCTTGGCAGCCTCCTTGACGGGCTGGCTCCTCCTCGTCCTAAAACACTTCTCCAGTTAGGCCAAGAGTGAAGATTGTCATAAGATGCCAAGTTCTAGTTAGTGCAAATTTCTATCCTTACCCGGGCAAATCTAGCCCTCACGGGATGCCTGTAATTACCGTGTATTTTTTTTTAAAAACAGGCTTGGTCTGATAGGAAGTTTGACTGAAGGACTTAGTGAACGTAAACAAGGAAATAAGACTGCACAGCACTTCTGTGCTTGCTTTTCATTTGGAGACTTTTCGCAGGATGCAGTTTCATCCAGGATGAGTTCATTTCTGCTTCTACACCATGGGCATGCGCCATGACAGCAAACATGCATTGAACACCTCCTGATAGACAAGAGAACCACCAACACTAATTCCTCACATTTGCACCGTTCTTTACAGTTTGCAAAAACAAGTTGGTCTTAAGAACACTCTTCAGGCTTCCAACAGAAATGCCTGCTGTGGTAGTGGATACAGTGTGAACTTGGGAGAAGAGGACCCGGGATGACGCCCCGAGCCTGCACTCCACCGACTGTGGGGTCCAGTCACTTGGCCTTCTGGAGCCTGGGTCTCTCCAGCTGCAGGATGGGAAATGACACCCTCCTTGCACGGGTTCTTGAGCAGATTAGAGAAAACCCCATGGAAAGAAGCAGGACGGTGCCAGGGTAGCTCCCAGTGCTGCGAGTGCATTAACCCTTGAAGACATCCCTGGGAGCAGGAGCTGTCACTGTCCCCGTGCCACAGAAGAGGAATGGGCACCTGGGGGCTGTTTTGTTGAGTTTTAGAGATTGCTAAAAAGTCCAAAGTAGAAAGATAGGAAGCAATTTTTAAAATCAATAAAGAGAACCCTTTTTTTAGACTAAGAAAGAGAAACAGTTTGTCTATCGGTGTTTATCAGTAACGAAGAAAGTTGCAGCCCTGCAGAAACTACCTGAGATGTGTGTGTCAACAAACCTCCTAATCCCGCAACTCAAGTCGCCCTGAGTCACGCCTTAAGCCCCACTAAACCAGCCTCGCACAGACAGCACCGCTGACATTTTGCACCAGATGAGTCTCTGTTGTCTGGGCTGTGCTGGTTTCTACACACCAGGTGGCAGTAGCATCTCCCCAACCTCAAGCTGGGCCAACCAAAAATATCTCCAAACATTGCCTGTGTCCCCTGGGAGGCAAAGTCGCCCAGCTGGGAACCACAAACTTAGGCTGACTGTCAAAGCTGAGATGGGTTCCCCGAGGAATCCTGTTTGCCAGTCAGTACTTCCCATCCTCTCTCTGCTCCCTTAGAGTCCAGAAATATCCCCAAAGGGCAGGTGAGGGCTTCTAGTTTGGTTTGGGGTGAATTAGGTGCCTTATTAGACACCACATCTCCAACCAGAGATTCATGACAAATGATCCGCTTTCTTTCTTTCTCTTTCTTTTTCTTTTCTTTTTTTTTTTGAGTTGGAGTCTCACCCTGTTGCCCAGACTGGAGTGTAGTGGCACACTCCCGGCCACCACAGCCTCAGCCAGCCAATCTTTCCGCCTTGGCCTTCCAAGTAGCTGGAACTACAGGCATGTGCTACCATGCCCAGCTTATTTTATTTTATTTTATTTTATTTTATTTTTATTGTAGAGATGAGGTCTCAACAAGTTGCTCAGGCAATCCTCTAGCCTTGGCCTCCCAAAGTGCTGGGATTACAGGCTGAGCCATCGCGCCCGGCCGATCTGCTTTCTTTATGGACAAAAGAGAAGACTATAAAGAAAAATGAAGCCGGGCTCAGTGGTTCAGCCTGTAATCCCGCGCCTTTGGGAGGCTGAGGTGAGTGGATGGCCTGAGCCCGCGGGTTCGAGACCCGCCTGGGCAGCGAGACCTCATCTCTACAATAAATCAAAAAATCAGCCGGGCGTGGTAGCGCATGCCTGTAATTCTGGCTACTCGGAAGGCTGAGGCGGAAGGATCGCCGGAGCCCAGTGGGTCGAGGCTGCGATGGCCGGGAGCGGCCACTGCACTCCAGTCTGGGCGACAGAGTGAGACTCCAACTCAAAAAAAAAAAGAAAAATTACTCCCAAACATCACTGCACATTGAATTCACCTCGGGATCTTGAAAAAATGAGGCTGCCCAGCTTGCATCCAGACCCTACTGTCACAGTACCGGGTGTGACTGGGCTCTCAGGTAACTCTACTATGCAGCAAGGTTTGGGATCCACTGCCCTAATGAGAAGAAATCTGAGCTTTGGCTTATGTCTCCTGCCCCTGATGTGACAGGGGTCATAGAGAAAAATGAGGCTGGGAAGATGAGGGGTAGGCAGTCCCGGTGGCAATAGGGGGTGAGGAAGACGAGGAAGACAAAGAAGTTAAAATAGGGCGGTCCAGAAAGGCGTCACTGAGAAGTGAGGCCTTTAGCCAACCTTAAAGAAGGTGACCGAGCAAATCATGTGAATACCTGGGGAAGAGCATCTCATGCCCAAGAACAGCGAGTGCCAAGGCCCCAAGGCGGCAGGATGGCTGTCACATTTGAAGACTATCAAGGAAGCGCCAGTGGCTGGTGCATGGGGGAAGGGGAAGAGGAGGAGACGGAGCCAAAGAAGAAACGTGGGAAGAAGATCCTCGAGGAAGCCGCCATCTTAAGGACTTTAACTCAGACGGGAAGGTGTAGAGCGTCTGATGATGTTTGAACCCAGGGTCATGCAGGCGGCTGGTTGGGGAACAGACTGTGGACAGGTAAGGGTGGAAAAGGGTGAAAGCAGGGAGCCCAGATAGGAGGCAATGGTGAATTCCAGGTGATCCCAAGGGCCCACTGTCTCCTAGAAGAAGGGAGATGATTTCAGTAGAGTAAGAAAGGCCCCACTGTGGCAAATCACACACTGGGGACCTGGGATAGGGAAGGCCTCCGGGGGCTCAAGCTGAGTACTGACGGATGAAAAGGAGTTACTGCTACCAAATCATCCACTACTATTGTGGGTTATGTGTCCTATGTCCGCCATGAGGCATTAAAAGTCTCTGTTACAAGCCGGGCACGGTGGCTCATGCCTGTAAATCCCAGCACTTTGGGAGGCGGAGGTGAGCTCAGGGGTTCGAGACTAGCCTAAGTAACATGGAGAGACCTCATCTCTATAATAAATAAATAAATAATTAGCCGGGCGTGGTGGCACACGCCCGTGGTTCCAGCTACTTGGAAGGCGGAGGTGGAAGGACCGCCAGAGCCCAGCAGCTCGAGGCTGTGGTGGCCATGCGTGTGCCACTGCACCCCAGCCTGGGTGACAGAGTGAGACACTGTGTCTTAAAAGAAAAAGTCTCTGTCCCTATGAAGACAGAGCGCATCATGGACACTCAGGGCAGAAGTGGGCAGAGAGAAATGTGCACACGTGTGTCTTGGTTCACATGAGCACACTGTGTGCAGGGGATGGAAGGGTGGAGACAGGAAGTTCCAGAGTAAAAAGACAGCAGGTGCGGAACTCCATGAGGAGGGAGCCAGCAGGGGCTTCCCAGGACCTAGGAACAGCTGAGGGGGTACAAAGAGGAGGGGGAGACTGAGCAGAGGGGCCAGGCCATGGAGGCAACATCCCAAAGACAGAGGAGCTCCAGGCAGGAGGTAGAAGTGGGGCACAGGGGCTGACAGGCATTTTTATTTTATTTTATTTTATTTTACATTTTGAGTTGGAGTCTCACTCTGTCACCCAGGCTAGAGTGCAGTGGCACGCTCACCGCCACTGCAGCCTCGACCTGCTGGTTCTGGCAATCCTTCCGCCTCAGCCTTCCAAGTAGCTGGAACCACAGGCAGGCGCCACCATGCCCGGCTAATTTTTTGATTTACTGTAGAGATGTGGTCTCGCCGAATTGCCCAGGCTGATCTTGAACTCCTGGGCTCAGGCAATCCTCTCCCCTCAGCTTCCTAAAGTGCTGGGATTACAAGTGTGAACCATTGTGCCCAGCTCCGACAGGCATTTCGAGAAAGATAACTGTGGAGCTGCCCAGAAGGCATTCGGCTGCGGTAGAGAATGGACCAAGAGGTCAACCTGTCCTGGAGGAGACACAGGGTCAGGTCCCTAACCAGGTGGGGGCTGGAAGGGCGGTTATGGAGAATGAGTGGGGAAGATAGGCCGTGGCCCCTGGCTGGGTGCAGGCAGGAGTGAAGGAGAGTTTCCATGTTCCTGGGTGGGGTGACAGAAGCGTGCGGAAGTCCTTTGCCGAGGTAAGACAGGGAAGAGGAAGAAGCACAGACCAGAAGGCAGAGGACAGAACACGTGTGAAGGCAGGGGGTGAGTGGCGGTCTGGGAAGGAGCTGGAGGGGCCTCCGAAGGGGGTGACCTAGGCTGGCCCGCAGGGGACAAGCAGGGGCCGGAGGGTCGTATGTGGGCCTCAGAGCTGAGGGGCAGCCGCGGGCCTGGGGGCTGGAGAGGGGCCAGGGAGGATGGAGAGTGAGAAGGAGACACCGGTGGACCAGCGGGAAGCAGAGAGGCAAGTGAGGTTGGGGCAAAGCAGGGCGGGCAAAGGTCAGGGAGCGTCATGGGTACCCAGTCCTGGAAGATGACCAGTGAAACAGGGTTAGAGAGGGCGGCGGGAGCCTGGGTGACAAAGAGGCTCAAGGAGCACAAGGAACCATGACCGCAGAAGTCAGGAGGGGTCATGTGGGGGAGGGAAGGGTGAGGACTGCAGCAGGGCCCCGGGGGCTTCGGGATGGCGAAGGATGTTCCGTTTCCTGACCTGAGTGGCATCCAAGAGTGTTCGTTTTATGATAATTC